ATCCTCCCCTCAGGCGATAATTAATGACCAGTAGCAAAGATTAAGTTTGTACTTTTTACAAATGTGAATCCTACTTGAGAAAAGGCTAGAAGACCCAGGAGAATTGCAAGTCGCCTGCAAAGATCGTTGATTTGCTTGATTTTCATGCGCAGGTCAATGAAATTCATTTCATTAAAAATTGAGCTCAGATTCCTCCAGCGTGTGGACTCCTAGTTAGTTAGTAGCAGCGTCCAACTAGAATCGTACAGGCGTAGGTTAAAACCCTGTCGAAGCCTAAAATTTTGAAAGCCTCTTTTCAGTAATTGCTGAAATTGCAGCTCATCTGCCATGATCATTACCTTACTTGATGCTAGTGTCAGGTCAGAACGTTTGCAGAGCATGTTTTGGGTGTGGTATAGCAGTTTGCGTTAGGACGGTTTTATGTTATTCCTTGTTAGCAAGGTCGATTCAATTGCAACTGTCTTTTCTTAATTAATTACTAGAATTCACTTACTTGCTTTGAATAAGACATGTTGAGGATAAATGGCTTGATTTTCAAAACTTGATTACGAGTTGAGATAATCTGTTGTAGTTCACTCCGTCGCCGACTAAGCTGAACTGACTGCAGTGTTAGGGTGGATTGATGTTAAAGCTAAATAGAACAAACACTCATTGATGATGATGATCCCACGTGAACTATCATGTGAAATTTAACAATTGGTTCATGATCATGCTTAACGCGAAAAATTATTTCCCGTAGTCATTCTTAATTAAGATGAATGTTTATATAATCGTGGAAGATAAAAATACAGTGACTTTTCTGGTGCATACTTCGACCCTTCCCCGACTTTTTTTTAAATTTGACTTCTTTCGATTTCTTGTTGTTGGATATGAGAGTGTTTATAACCTATGCAATTTGTTGGTTAGTAACCTTTCTCGTTGAACGAAGTCTCGCTTATGGAAGAGTCATTTCTCCTTTTAATTAACTTGCCGTTTACGTAATGTACTATTTGACCAATCAATTCTTTGCTATAAGCAAAGTTAACAACCAAAAACTAATCAAAAATCGGCTTCTTCAAAGGTGACAGACAGACCGTGGCAACTTGTACCATTATCATCGTGAACTTTATGTTATCGGAAAGTTTTGAACTCGACTGCTTTTTTTTTTGAGCAATGGATATTGAAACTTATCAATGAAGATATGATATGCTTGAAACAATTTCTCGATTCTGACTGGCCAAGAGATACGCAGTTTTTCAGGAAATATGATCCAAAAATAACAAAATCTAAAGGAAAAAAAGAGTATCTTAGTGTAAGAATTTACAAAAAAGAAATCAGCAATCTGATTTGGTTGATAAATAAGAGCGCTCACAAATAGGTTCTTTGAATGGCGCAAAGTTTGGATCCTCTTAGAGTTGCTATTAGGATCTACAAAGCCTCAGTAACAATAACGTCGCCAGTCATACTTAGAAAACAATGGCTATAGCTGTTGCAATATACAGGAAAGAAACGTTAGTCTGGCCAGGTGTTGGATGGGAAAGTGAAAGAGCTTCGTTTGGTTGGCCGTGGAAAGAACCCAAACAAAGTGCAACAAGTGCAAGATGAGTAAAAAGAAATTATCCGATAGAACAAGAAACTCAGTGATAAAATTCTAAATGTTTTATTAAAAAAAAAAAGCATCAGATTCAAACGCTTGAACTGTATGGCCGTTTTTTGCAGCCTCGAGAACTTTCAAAACATTGAGAAACCGGTTTTTTTTTTTTCTTTAAAGGCGTGATGACTTTTGTATGGTTTTAATAAATCATTTTAATTTGGACGTCATTCATGCGTGCTCCTTGTGCTTAAGCTGTCTCGTGATTTTCTTTTTATGGATATTAATTAATTACATGTTTTTCTCGTGCAATTTTCTGTAATTAAGCAGTTGCCGGTGTTTTTCGAAGACCATAGATTGCACTCGC